GGGCACCCCAGCAGCTCTCTGGGCACCCCAGAAGCTCTCTGGGCACCCCAGCAGCTCCCTGGGCACCCCAGCAGCTCCCTGGGCACCCCAGCAGCTCCCTGGGCACCCCAGCAGCTCCCTGGGCACCCCAGCAGCACTCTGGGCACCCCAGCAGCTCCTTGGGCACCCCAGCAGCTCCCCGGGCACCCCAGCAGCTCCCTGCTGCCGGCGGTCCCGGCTCTCCCTGTGCCAGCCCCGCGTGGGAACCTCTGCCCAGCGGCGTTTTCATTGCCCGCTGCCAGAGCAGCAAAGGCCAGCTCAGCACTTTCATCCCCCGCGTGTTGGGGTCGGAGTGGAGGTGACGAGGGGCAGAGCAGAGGGAAACAATGACACTTTATCTGTCCTTCCCCCGTGCCGCTCCCACGCGAGCCCGCCGGGGTGGTGCCAGCCCAGCGGTGCCACCTCAGCGGTGCCAGCCCAGCAGAGCCACCCCAGCAGTGCCACCCCAGCGGTGCCAGACCAGCGGTGCCAGCCCAGCAGTGCCAGACCAGCGGTGCCACCCCAGCGGTGCCACCCCAGTGCCACCCCAGCAGTGCCAGCCCAGCAGTGCCAGAGCAGTGCCAGCCCAACAGTGCCACCCCAGCAGAGCCACCCCAGCAGAGCCACCCCAGCGGTGCCACCCCAGCAGTGCCAGCCCAGCAGTGCCAGCCCAGCAGTAACACCCCAGCAGTGCCACCCCAGCAGTGCCACCCCAGCCGTGCCAGCCCAGCAGTGCCAGCCCAGCAGTGCCAGCCCAGCGCCTGGCAGGGCTGCACCGGGGCACAGCTCAGCCCCTGGCACAGGAGCAGCCCTGTGGGGTCAGTATTTACCTGGCACACGCTCCCTTCCCATTCCCTTCCACTGCAGGGCTGGGATTCCTTCAGACAAATCCCAGGGGCAAACTGCAGGTGCAGCATGGTGGGGCTCCAAGACCTGCAGCAAGGGGTTTGGAATGCTTTATTTCCCCCCAAATCATGGTGAGGCTCCAAGACCTGCAGCAAGGGCTTCGGAATGCTTTATTTCCCCCAATATCATGGTGGGGCTCCAAGACCTGCAGCAAGGGGTTTGGAATGCTTTATTTCCCCCCAAATCATGGTGAGGCTCCAAGGCCTGCAGCAAGGGCTTCGGAATGCTTTATTTCCCCCCAAACCAGGGCAGCAATCCTGGCAAGAAGTGTCATTAACAAAACAGTTTTCTACAGCAACGAGAGCTCTGTGTGTGTTTTGTTGTAAGGAAAAACAAATAAATTCCTTTTTTTCACTAAGGAACCAAAAAACATCTCTGAGTGAATTGTAGAACAAAAGAGGCCTTGATTTCTGACACCCATCATGGAAAAGGTTGGATCCAAATATACGTACATTAAAAATAAAAAGGTGTAAACAATGCTTCCTTCCTAAAGAGCTTCTCTCCTCTCTGGTTTGGAGCCTCCAGCTCCTTCCCCCTCCCCAAGGGCCCGCGGGTTTCATTTGTCCCTTTGGAATTGCTGCTCCTCAGGGGAAATCCTCTGCTCCCACCTGCGAGGGGATTAGTGCAGCCACAGGACCAAATCCCTCTGCTCAGTACCCCGGGCAAAGCTGCAGGAAATAAATCCTGTTAAGCCATTGGGGCCACTCTGGGCTTACCCAGACAGAAACGGCAGCACTATAAATAAGATCTTGGTTTGATTAGGGAAATAAAGGCAGGAAAAAAGCACTTAAAAGATATCCAGAGGAAATATAAGCTCTTCCCCCCCCCCAGTCATGCTGACAGTGATGAATTAGTCCACGAATGCCAGTCAGAGAGTGAGTCATGATTCATAAATAAATTACAGCAAGATATTCATAGAATCATAGAATATCCTGAGCTGGGAGGGACCACGAGGATCACCAATCCAACTCCTGGCCCTGCACAGGATGACCCAAAATCTTAGGAAATACCCTGGTAACATTCATTTAATCTGGGACATTTGCGGCCTGAGATACCACTAAACACTCAAAATTCAGAGTAACTCAGTGATCCTTTATCAAGCACATACATTTATTGTAGTTGATAGAGCTGACCTCTGGCAGTGCCCACTCAACCCTTGTTGGAGACAAACTGATTTGGAGAAGCTGCTGGGTGGGTTTTGCAGCCCCTGGTCTCAAGCCCGGGGACAGGCAGGGCAGTGGCAGTGGGTGCTGCCTGCGCCAGGTGAGTTGTCCCCTCCTGAGGATGCTCATCGGTGAGATAATGGCACTTTCCTCCCTTTCTTTTCAAATAAAGGCTGCTTTTGCAGTGCTTTGCAGTTAAATAATTAGCTGGTGTTCAAAAATGAGAGCTGGGAAGGGAGCTCAGGGCCTTGGCTTTGTTGTTTCACCCCGTCCTGCCTCCCCCAGCCTTGCTGTACTGAGATGCAAAATTATCAGTGGAAGAGTTTATAAAATGTCAAAACAGTTTCTCTCCTGTCAGCCAGACAATTTGTGTAAATAGAGCCTCTCTAAAGAGCCTCCTGCCAGCTCAAACCTCTCTTTCATCTCCCCAGGATTTATTGTATGCCATTTTCATGGAATTTTAAACCAGTCTCTAATGAAGAGTGAGGATGGAAAGTTCTGTGCTGCGCTCAGAGGAGCCTGCAGTGGGATCCTGGATCTGCTGTCAGCTCCCAGGGCCTGGCAGGGCCGGGCAGAGGCTGTGAAACCCAAACACAAACCCAAACACAAACCCAAAGGCAGGTGATTTCCCCTCCTCACACTAGAGGTGGCTCTCCAGGGGGATGGCTCTGCCTGGCTGGGAAAGCAGCTCTGGGAACAGAACCTTCCACGCAGCTGCAGCTCCCAGTGAGGCAGAGCAGCCAGGGCTCAGTCCCTGCCAGCCCCGGGTGCTGCGGGCAGGAGGAGCTGGATAACCCGGGATAACCCGGGATAACCCGGGCACGGCTCCCCCAGGCTGGCAGGGATCACTGCCCTGGGCAGGAGCGGGACTGGCATCAAACGGGGTCCTGTGCCAGCTGCTCTGCCCCCACCCCACAGCCCCACCCAAAGAAAGCTCTAAAAAACTCCAGCTGCAGCGCAGTTAATTTTAAAACCACACCAGATCTGCTCGGTCCCAGCCCCTGTCCCGCCCTGGCAGGGTGGGAGCCCAGCGGGAGCAGTTTCCAAGCCCAGCCTGGCACTGGGCAGGACTGGTGTGGCAGCCCCGGCTGCTCCCACGGACCCTGCACACCCGAGCTCGGCAGGACCGGCAGGAACAGCTCCCTCCTGCCCCGAGAGCCACAGCACAGAGCTCAGGGAACGGCATGTGGAAGGGAAGAGCTTCCCAGATCTGATTCTCCGCTGACAGTTTGCTCTTGACAGCAGCTGAAATCATCTTTGGAACCAGCCCTGCGTTCTAAGGACAGTGAGCTCTGCCTTTCAGCTCAGCTCTGTGTGCCAGAGGAGGGGTTTCTTCAGGTTTTTGCACCTCTGAGAAAAGCCAGCAGTGGTTTTCCAACATCACTGTGCCCCCATTGGAGAGGCAGGGAAAAAAATCCCAAATGGGAGTTTCAGAGGGAAACCAAAAGGGTTCTGCTCCTGTCCAGCCCTTCCCAGCTCTTGTAGACCAGAGTAACCCCCCTTTTACCATGGATGGGGAAACTGAGGCACAGTGACAGGACGCTGTCCCCACGGCAGGCTCCAGCCTCTCGTTCTGGTTGATAATTCAGCAGCCCTCACTCCCACCAGCTGTGATTCTGCTCCTCACTCACATCCTCTCTCTGCCTGGCTCTCACTTCCTTCCCAGGCAGGGAGAGCCAGGACAGAGCTCACCACTGCTTGGTTTAGGAGCTGCTCGGGGTTTTTTCCTATAAAGTAAACATCACATTTTGAAATCCAGAAAAAACCTCCTCCACACCTCCTGGCGCAGGAGCAGGAGCTGTGGGATGTAAGGAAAGAGGGGCACAGATGTCCCGGGACAGGGAGGGTGGCTGTGGCCGGGACAGCCTGGCCCTGTGTGAGCCGGGACCCCCGAGCCCCCCGGGGGTCTCACCTGGGAGAGGCTGCCCTGTCCCCTCTCCTCCCTGCTGGTGTCCCACAGCCCCGCCAGAACAAAGGCAGACGTGGCTGTTGTTGACTCACAGGATAAGATCATTGTTGTGGGATATATTTTTGTGTGTGTGTGTGTGTCACTTAGACATAATTTTTTTCTGGCAAATTTGTTCTCCTCCCCTCCGCCCCCAAAGTGAAAAGGGAATCTGTGCTCAAAGCCGCAGCTGAGATTGCAGAGACCTTCCCTTCCTGATCCTTATCTCACCAGGATGTAGGAGGATCCCTCGGGAATAGCTGGAAGCCTTTCGCTGGAGCCATCCAAGAAACGAGCACAGCCTTTAAATGGCAAAACCATCAAGTGCTCGGCACCGGGATCCGAAAGCTTTAACCCCATCTCGCTGGGACATCCCGGGACTCTGATCCCAGCTCCTGGAGCTCCTCTCCGCGGGCTCTGCCGCCTCGGCTCGGTGACAAAACCACACCTTGGAGTCCTCACCTGCACCAAAACCTGCACCAAAACCTGCACCAAAACCTGCGCTGCTGCTCCAGCCCCGCTCCCGCCTCGGGCTGGGCGCTCCAGCTGCTCCTCTGCACGGAGGGCTCCGCGGCTTCGGCAGCTGGAAAAACCCAGCCCGAGTTTCCTGAGCCTGGGCCGAGGGAGGGCAGCGGGAGAAGGGCCCCGAGTGAGGATGCGGGGCCCGAGGGAGGGATGCGGCACCCGGGGCAGGGGGAGAGCCGTGCTCAGGCGGGGCAGGGACAGCAGAGGGACAGGCTCATCCTCCTCTGCTGACAGAGGAGTCCCAGCAGCCCTGGCTCTGTCCTGTTTAGGACAGGAAACAGATGCTGCCTGGTGAGGAAGCACCTGAAGAGTATTGGAGCACCTTGTGCCTGCCCCGCAGGAACCTGGTGGGAACAGGGGGTACCGGGTGCAGCCCCCCCGGTTTGGCCCCGGCCGGGCTCGGTGGCATCGCCCTCGGACACTGTGTCCCCACGGAAAAGCACCTGCCTTTGGAGGAAAAGGCATGGGCAGGGCCAGAGCTGTTAAATCGGCTGCTGGAGCAGATCCACGAGCCCCCTGTGCAGGGGCTGCTCCATCCATCCTCCATCCTCCATCCTCCATCCTCCATCCTCCATCCTCCAGCTCCAGCTCCAGCTCCGGCCGGGCCAGGGCAGCCTCACAGGCTGGAACCTCTGCCCCAGCAACCCCCTCTGCCTTTACAACTTGCTTTTCTTTCTCGTTAGCCTGCTCTGATTTGATTGGGAATTAATTTTTCCCCAGGTCCAGCCTGTTTTCCCCCTGCTGTTTATAACTTGCTTTTCTTTCTCGTTAGCCTGCTCTGATTTGATTGGGAATTCATTTTTCCCCAGGTCAAGCCTGTTTTCCCCCTGCTGGTACATCAGACCTCTCCCTGTCCTTACCTTCACCCTCTGGCTTTCAAACGCAGCCCCCTTCACCACGCCACGGCCGAGCTGCCTCAGCTCTGACAGTGACAGAGATTAGCTGGACTGATAAGTGACTGCTTTGCAGCAACTGCTGTTGACGTTTTTGCACCTCTAAACAGCTTGAAAGAGGAACCTGTAGACTATTTCTTTGGAAGCTGCTGGTAAGAAGGACAGCGGAAGGACGCGTTCTCCCTCCCAAGGAGCTTCCCAAGGCACTGAGGCTGCTGCAGGGACGCAGTGAGCTTCAGGAGGGGTCTGCAGAGAGCAGAATGCTTCCTGGCAGCTGAGATACCTGCAGATCTCCGAGCTGCTGCCCGGGTGCCTCAGCACGGAGCGCGGACGTCGGAGAATCCCGGAGCAGGCGCGCGGTGCCGAGGATCCCGCGGTGGCCGCCGATGCTCCCGCGTTTCCTCTGCAGCTGCAGAGCTCAGGATGCTGAACAGCAGCCTGGCCCTGAGCAGCCTGGACGGGATTTACATCGGCACCGAGTGCCTGGTGGCCCTGATCGCCACGCTGGGCAACGTCCTGGTGATCTGGGCGGCGAGGCTGAACGCGGCCTGCCAGAACACCACGCTCTACTTCATCGCGTCGCTGGCGCTGGCCGACGCTGCCATGGGGCTCCTGGTGATGCCCCTGGCCGTGGTGGTGAGCCTGGGCATGGCCATGCCCGCCTACAGCTGCCTCTTCATGTGCTGCCTGCTGCTGGTGTTCAGCAACGCCTCCATCCTGTCCCTGCTGGCCATCGCCGTCGACAGGTACCTGCGAGTCAAGCTGCCCACCAGGTGAGGCTGCCCCGCCTCCTCTGCCCTCCTTTCCTACCTCTAATTACTTTAATTACTTGAAGTGGATGCTTGTGCCTCAAAGCCCACCTGGGATGAGCTTCCCAGAGGCCTGGGGGGTGCTCGTGAACTGGATTTTTGTTTATTCATGAGCTGGAAAACCAGCTCAGTGTAGTTATCCCTGATCAGAGTGCCATCACAAGATGCATCTGTTACATTTTCAGCATCTTCATTAATTGCACAGGATGCTCAGTGTGTTATAGGGGTTTTTTAAAAAGTTTCTGAGGCTTGTGTTTGAAATGAAATTCCTTTTAGCATTTGCTGAAAATACAAAAGTAGCAACAAACTTATTAACAATTAACTCACTGTTAATTGTTAGGTCACTCGCTGATTACATTTAAATGAGACATACACAAGCCAGAAAAGCAAAGCATAACCTCAAGCACCCAAAAAGTCATGGTTTATAGTGGGAAAGGACCTGTGAAGCTGAGGAATGAATTTCAGCCCTACAAATGGCGTAAACCAAATAAAAAGAGGAAGGTACACTCAAGGAAGCCAAGAAATAAGATAGGACTTCCAACAGCAGCAAAGCAATATCCTGGCCAGAGGAGAACTAAGATCATAATGAAACAAGAAATAAAACAGGTTAAACATGCAATTTTAAACAAGGGAACTTAAGCACAGTTCTTACTGATGCTGCAAAGTAACTGTTACAAATGAAGAGGTGGGGCTTGTCCCAAGATAAAATTTGGGTTCCCCACAAAAACAAAGTTAATGCTTAATTTTCCAACAATGACCCTGCAGCACCTGAACAGGTGAGTTCATCCTTAACTACCTTAAAATGCTTCTCTTTAACACGACGTGGGATTTCTTCCCCTACAGATATAAAACAATCACTACAGAGAGGAGAGTGTGGTGGGCCCTGGGGCTGTGCTGGTCCCTGTCCCTGCTGGGGGGGCTCGTCCCCATGTTTGGCTGGAACAAGGCAGGCCCCAGGAGCTCCAGCTACCTCAGGTGCAGGTTCATCTCCGTGATGAGGATGGATTACATGGTGTATTTCTGCTTCTTCACGTGGACCCTCGTGCCCCTGCTCGTCATGTGTGTTCTGTACGCCGAGATCTTCTACATCATCCACACAAAGCTCAGCCAAGGGACCGCTGTGAGGGGGGCTAGGGCTTTCTATGGCCAGGAGTTCAAGGCAGCCAAGTCTCTTGCACTGGTTCTCTTGCTCTTTGCAATCTCCTGGCTGCCTCTGTGCATTATAAACTGCATTTTCTATTTTCACCCCGAGTCTCAGATCCCCCCGTATTTGATTTACTTGGCAATCCTCTTATCCCATGCCAACTCTGCCATGAACCCCATTGTCTATGCCTACAAGATAAAGAAGTTCAAAACCACTTACCTTTTAATTTTAAGGACCTACGTCCTGTGCAAAAACCCAGACCCAGCTCTTGCAGAGCAAACAACAGACCCAGAGTCATAAAGAGAGGCTGGGGCAGCCAGAGAGAAGCAGAGCATTGATAAAGCACCTGGCTTTGCTAGGAAACTCTTGGGAAACTGCAGCAGCCTGTGGGTCTGAGGCTGCCCTGAATCTCCATGTGAATATAAGTCTTTATGCAATATAATTTCTAAACACAGAAGATGGAAACTTTGTCTGGCTGGGGGTTTTGGGTTTTTCTAACATGAAGATGGTTGAGTTGATTGCAAACCAGGATGTGTTCTTTGCTGTTCATAATCCAGCAGCTCACAAGCTCACTGACCATTCTTGTCTGTCCATTCAGACTAAACTTGAGTGTGGTCAGCTTGTGCTTCAGCCAGTGCTGTCATGTTTTCATGAGTAATAATAAATAGTAGATGGATTTTACACTAATTCTGCCTGCTGAGTCCTCCCATGAGCAAAAGAAACCTGCCCAGTTTCAGTCAATGTCCTGCTGGGGTGGCACAGAGGTTCAGTAATTGTTACACCACAGCTGACACAGCCCCTGTTGAGGGAACACGGGTCAAAATGAAACGAGGAGAGGTTGTTAAAGGCCAGGCTCTTTTTTTCCTCCATCTTCAAATAATAAAAGTGGTCTAGGAAAAGCAGAAAGGTAGTGCACCCGAGGGACCCCAGCCAGAGCTCACCTTCTGGTGAGGGAGGGAGATGCTCTCCCTGTTTTCTCCTCCATAGAGCTTGAAGGAGCTGCCAGGACCGAGGTGAGACAGAGAGCAGCAGAACAAAGAGCACAGGTTGTTCTGCCGACCCTGTGAAAGTCTGTGGCCCCCGCAGCAGTCTCTGGCCAAAGGCAGCACACCAAATTTCAGAGCACAGGAGCGTCTGCTGACACTTTGCTGGGAGGAGCGGGCAGAACGGCCCAGAGGGGCTGGAGGGGACAGAGCCCGCTCGGTGTCGGAGGGGCTGCAGGCACCGAGCAGCGCAGGGCACCCGGGCAGCCCCAGCCCAGGCTGGTGCTGCCATCAGGTGGCACCTCCAGCCCTGCTCCTGGGGAGCCCCGGGCTGCTGTGACACTGCCACCCCCCGGAAACCATCCCTGCTCACGCAAAGGGAACGGTGTCTGTGAATGAACATTCCCAGAGATTTTGGTTGTCACGCTGTGATGGTGCATTTCTTTTATGGGACTCAACCAGCAAGCAGAGATTTGCATCCAGACATTTCATGACCATCACTTCAATAACAGAAAATTACTAAGCAGAGCACTTGGCAATCAAAAAAAAAAAAAATACGGAAAGTGTTAGAGTTGGTGACAGAAAAGGGAAACACAAGGGCACACATGGATCAATGCAGAGAAATATTTTCATTTCTCACTTCTCTCTGGTAGTTCTCACAAACGGAAACTTTACAAGGGCAGGGGGATTTCTACAGATGAGGAAATCCTGTACAGAAACTCCATCTGCCCACAGCTGTTGGCAGCCAGTTTGAACAGGAGACAATTTCCTGTCACAGCTGCAAAAAGAGCTGTGTAACAGAGGGCATGGGGGCATTCTCAGGTGTAACATCCTTGGTGTAACGTCCTCGTGGCTTTTGATGCCCAGAAAGTGGGACCATTTTGATTTCATTTGGAACTTCCTCATCACAGATGCAGTGGTGTCCTGCCCCGCTGGAAGACCAGAGTGCTGTAGGTCACTTCATTCTGGGGATGTGAGAGCAGCCACAGGCATTAGAGAGTGCACCAGCACCGCAGGGCAGCAGGAATCCCCCACTTGTAACTCCTCCTCAACACCACACAGCATTAACAGCCTGTCCCTGCATGGGGAAATGGCTAAATGCTGGTTCATCCCACTGGCAGTCTGCCTCAGGGTTCTGGGTAAAGTCTCCTTTAGGGGCTTCCAAAGAATTCATATCACAGATGAAAACTGCAGAAATGCTTCCCCTTTAAAGAGATTTCTCCTAACCTGCCTCATCAGTGGTTAAGCCCCAGAACCCCTGAAGCTGTCAAAAGAACTGCTGAGTAACTGTTGAGTCTCAAAGGTGGCTTTTCTCCCTCCCACCCCAAATTAATATTTACCACACTGTCAAGGATGTGGAATATCTGCATAAAGCATTAGAAATGACAGCTGTGACATTTACCTGGGTGTTCCTAAGAGATTCCTCAGCTGCCCTCTGGGTGAAAGTTTCCTGTGGTAAATTTTGGTGGGATCTTTTAGAACCTAGGAAGGAAAGGGATCCCAGCCTCAGGTGTTGGCAGACAGCAATGCAAGGGAGGCTGCAGAGGGCTGGCACACAGGTGATGTGCCACCTCTGGCACAGCAAAGTGGCAGTTTGGGCTGCCCAGTCCCTGCCCACCTGTTGGAAGTGGCCAGGATGAATCCAGTGCAGCCAGGATTAGGATCAGAAAAGCCCACAAGCAACAAAACCCCACACCTCATCAGTGGCAAAGTTAATTCTTCCCTGAAAACACCACTGGGAGGGTTCACAAGGAGTTACTGCCAGGGATGAGCTGCTCACCAACACACAATTACTCAAGGCAGACACTACTTGAGGAACTAAGTAACTTCTGCAGCCACCATCAGTCTGCTGCTGCGCCCTCGACTGTGTCACTCACTTTTCCTGAAGAGGAAGATGATTGCAAAAACCAGGACAGTCAGGAGGATGCCAGAGATGAAGGCCAGTGACACGTACAGTATTTCATGGCTGTTGATACACAGGAAATCCTGTCAGAATCCCCAGTTTCAGCAGAGGGTTTGAAGCATCAGTAGTGCTCAAATTCACCAGAGTTCACGGAGTGTAACGTTTATCCCCAGCCCCACGAGACTAAGGTGTGTGTCTGCACTGAGCATCTCCAGGAACCACCCACCCAGGGCACAGCCCAGGCAATTCCAACCAAACTTTAACCCCCTGAGATGTTAAATATGTGACATAGAACCCTTCCCTTGCAGAAGGAGGCTGCAGTCTCAGGGAACTCTGGGTTTGAATCAGGAAATAAAGGAGCAGCATTTACTTATTAATCCAGCATCTGGCTTCTGCAGCTTTGAAATCAGGTGTAGGGGTGTGGACAGTGGTAGTGACAGTGGTAGTAGGGCAAATGGGCTCTGGTGCAACTGCAAAGGGAAAAAAAAATCACAAGCTTCTTTTAAAATATGCAAATTTCTCCAGTAGTACTGCAAGCAACTAAAACGACATGGGGGGGGCTGTGTCTGTGCAGTGTGTCTGAAAGTGGAACCACCAGACAGGAAAGTTCTGCTGCTCGGGTGATGGCTGTGCCAGGCAGGCTGGCAGCCATGCAGCTCTTCCCCAAGCACCCCCCGTGCTGAGCCCCCCCAGAGCAGCCCCTGGGCAGGGCATCACCTCAGTCAGCAGCACTGCAGCTGAGGAAATCCCTTAAAAAATAAAATACCTGGAGCTTCTTTTGAGGAAAAGCCTCCCATTCTCTCAGAGCATTAACTGACGGGAAGAGAAGCTGAAAGAAAGGGAGAGTTATATTTATATACATATACACATAAGCAAAGCAAACTTGTTATCCTCTTCCAACTCTAAAGACTTGATTTAGTTTTTATCCATTTCTTGGCAGTCTTGTAAAAGTGGCACAAAGCTGGCACTCAAAGCTGGCAGTTCCTCTGCAGCAGCCCCTGCCCAGTGTCTTGTTCCTGAACACACGAGCTCACTGCTCCCTGACGGGCACGGTGCCTTCTCCACCCAGAAAATGGAGCATATTCAAGAACTAGAAAGCACCTACAGGATTATTTTTGCAGCAGCAAAAAACCCTATGAACGTTTTCATAACCAGAAGCAGCTTTGAAAAGTTTGTCCCTTGATGGTTTTTTTTAAATTGACTTTTCCCACCAAAACAGGAACAGTAACTTTCTTCTCCAGTTTGTGTTTGGGATCTTAGAGATAGGGATTCTAAAAGATATTCCACTACAAAATCCCTGCACCGGCATTTCTCACCACATGCTTTGCAAACCGCAGATTGTGAACAATGTGAAAATATTACAACATGAAAATAAAACACCCTGTTCTCTGCTGCTGCCACGTTTCCTCCTGCGTCCCATTGTCGCCACATTCCAGAGGGGCCAAACCATGAAACCTCCCAGTTTCCCACACCAAACCTCACGGGGTGCTGTGTTTAAAAGAAACGAGAAATGATACAGCTCCATCTTACCTCCCACCATGGAAGGGCTGCTGGAAAACTCCCCAAGTGCCAGCACACCACTTTAACCACTTGCTTTGTGAGAAGAATCTGTCACACCAGCCAAAAGCTCAAATGTCAATCAGATGTGGGCTTACACAATTGTGGAAGTTAAGCAACTTCACTTTTTTATTTAAATTGACAAAAAACAGGAAACCATGAAAGACACCTGCATTCTCTGGAACTGTTAGTCTGAAAAAAGTGAGGCAGCCTCAGCTTAGGTTGGCTTGAAGTGAGGTTCTTGCCCCTAAAGAACACCACTTTGGGAACTGAGGTACTGGAAGTGTAAGAAAACCACGTTTCTCAACCCCACTGAGAAACGGGATTGCAGGCACCCCCAGTGTGTACCTGGGTTTCTGGAGTACATAAATCACAGCACACAGGGGGAGGTTATTTGTGTGTGTGCTTTGCTGGGATTTCTGAGTTTTGACAAATTGCTTCAGGGAAAGGCTTCCAATAAAAAGAAAAGGAACAGAGTGATGGAAGTCCAGAAGAACTCCTCTGGAACAAACCTTGTCCCATTGCAGACTGAGCACTGACACAGCCAGCTGAGCACAAGGCTTTCAGGAGCTTTTGACACATTTCCTGCCCCATCTCTTTTCCCAGAACCCAAACTCTCAACACTTCACGAGGCTTCATGGTGAAAGGGGGGTCCCAGCTCCTTTAGAGAACAGGAACATTCACCCAGAGCTGCCCCCAGCCAGGGCCAGGTGAACGGCAGCACAAATCATCCTGATTTTAGAACACGGGTACAGCAGGCATCTGGGGAGCTAGCACTCAGAATTCTACCACAGGGATCAGCTTCAGCAGCAGGATTCTCCTCTGTGAAGTTCTGGGTCTTTGGAAGTGTTCCTGACCAAAGAGGGAATCCAACAGGATCTCACACACTGTGGTTCCAATCATCCCCCACCATAAACCAGCTGCAGTGGCTGGTGTGACCATCCAGTGACTTCAAACACAAACAGGCAGGGACTGTTGCTAGTGAAAGACAGCGGAGGGGTTTTTTTGTCTGTTTAATGATATTTTAGAGTCATACAGTTTCCAAGAGGAGCTATTGGGACGTGTCAGTGGGCTCAGACTGCTCACACGGCTGCATGGGCACTCTTGGACAGTGCCTTCAGGTCCAGGATGCACTTGGCAATGCTTTCCTTCTGCTGCAAGAGACAGGAAACAGCCTTCAGGAGACATTTCAACAAGAAAACAGACATTTAAGTGCATTTCATATAAACCTTTCTAGACCTATAAGGTACTGATTAAGAGGGATGCAATTATAGCTCATGAAGCCAGAGACTCACATCCAATAAAGCACAGATTCCTGGAATCCCAGAAGGTTTGGGTTGAAAGGGACCTCAAAGCTCATCCAGTCCCACCCCTGGCCAAGGTTTCCCATCACCTCGTGAGCCAGGATCCCTAACAGCAAATCTTTGTGCAGGCTAAAAAGTAAAGCAGGTAAAACCCAGCAAGTACCTGCTGAGGTGTGATGCTCTGAACAACGTTCCTCTCCACCCACTGGATCATGTGGTCCTGCTCTTTCTGCCGCTTCAGGTTCTGCATGGCCACCTGGTAGTCCAGCCTCTTCTTCACCTCGTTGTACACCGTCAGCAAGCGCTCCCGGTAGTTGGTTTCCAGCAGCATTGCGATGTTGTTCTGCAACAGAGCAGCACACGAGAGGCTCAAGCCTGGCAGCAGAGCATGCTGTGTGGCAGGAGTGGCAGGAGCACAGCAGGGCAGGCTGCCTGGCGCTGAGCAGCTGCAGCAGCAGCAGTGGCAGCAGCTACAGCGGCCCTGCTCACCCTCTTGGCATCGAAGAGGTAACTGCGCCCCTCCGCCCTCCACTGCTCCTTCTTCTCGTCCTCGATGGCCGTCTGCAGCGTCTGGATGGCCTCGTTCTTCATGGCCAGAGCTGTGGCCACCTTCTCCTGCAAGAGAGGAAGGACTCCACGCTTCAGAGTCAGATGCAAGGGAAACAAGTGGTGTGCAGTTGAAGCTGAAGTGCTGCACTGAGCTGCGGAAACGCCTGTGCACACTGCCCTGTGCCACGGCTGGGGTTATGCCAACAGGGGAGAACGAGGGCTCACAACCAGCCAGGGAACCCCAGACTGCTTTGGGTTGGAAGGAACTTAAATCCCATCCAACCCCACCCCTGCCATGCAGGGACACCTTCCCTGTCCCAGGTGCTCCCAGCCCTGCCCAGCCTGGCCTTGGCACTGCCAGGGATCCAGGGGCACCCACAGCTGCTCTGGGCACCTGTGCCAGGGCCTGCCACCTTCCCAGGGAACAATTCCCAATTCCCAACATCCCATCCAACCCTGCCCTCTGGCAGTTTGATGCCATCTGTACTTCACCAAACCCCTTCCTTACTACCAGCTGCAAAGTCAAACTGCAGTTTCTTCGTTACCTCGTTCAGTTTGTCAGCAAAAGCTGCCACATCAGGCCCGAACTTCTTGATGGCATAAACGATGACTGTCAGGATGCAGGCAGCTGCTGCTGTCTCGTGGTTGATCACGTAGATCTCCTTGGAGAGGAGGTAGAGCAGGAGGCCAGTGCCCAGCATGTAGGGCCCTACAGGAGAAGTGAAGCAGCACTACTTGTATGAAGCACGACGAGCATCAATAAAGTGAAATACCTAAGAGGGAGCTTTAAAGGCTCACAAGGTCAGGAAGAAGTGCCCTACTTTACCAGGACAAAAAGCAGAGCCACAGTTCCACGTGGGAAAGGTGCCACAAGGAACCTCACCACACGTGGGAGCAGCTTGCACCTGACACGGGACCTGCTGCTTCTGCTCATCAGAAACATGAAGAATTGAAATTTTTTAAGAACCAACAGGCAATTAAATCTCTCCATAAAATCAAGCTCATGGAATTCTTTCAACCATTAGGTGTCTAACTTTAGAGCCAGGAGTCCTACAGTGGCTCGTTCTTCACAATCTGCACATGCAAAACACTCATTTTCAGCACTATTTTACCTTTTCAGCAGCCAGAACTGGTGAACAGAACCATGTAAGCATAGTTAAAAATGGCAAAAGTCTATATTAACCTGTCACTCCTGTTTTAGGGTAGAGAAACTGGAAAAACTCCTCAGGGATCAAGCCATGACGAACTTCTCCTCCCTTCTCGGGCAGAGGTGGCACAGGAGCCAAACTCTGCTGAGTTGTGTGCAGGGGTCTTGTGGCGTGCAACACCCTGTGAACGAGGAGAACATCTCAGTTACGATTCTTATTAAAAAACAGACAGAAACGGTCCCCTAAACCACCCTTAGATGGGGCTCAAGCCCATTTCCAATTAAATAAGCAGTGACTGGTGAGGGGCGGGCAGAGGGTGCCCCATCCCTGGCCGTGTCCAAGGCCAGGCTGGCCCTGCTCCCGTGGAAGGTGTCCTTGTGCACGGCAGGCGGTGGAACGGGATGAGCTTTAAGGCCCTTTCGGCCCCGAACTCGCCGGTGATTCGAAGGTGGTGGCATTTACAGGACACTCCTCCTCCCAGCAAGGGGGTGGGACCAGATAACCTCCACAGGCTCCTTTCCCCGGCCCTGCTCTGTGCTCCCGCGGCATCAATGGGGAAAACGCGAGACAAACCCGCAGAATAACGCTGTTTAAGCACAAACCCGGCCGCTAGCCGAGGGGCTCCCCGGTACTCACCCCACGGCGACGGGCGGCGGCAGCGCCCTCAGCGCGGCGGGGGCTGCGGGGACAAGAGGGCAGAGAGCGCGTCAGGGCACAGCTCGGCCAGCACCCCCCGCCCGCCACCCGCTCCCCCCGAGCGGCGGCACTGCCCGGGCTCACCGGCGCGCAGGACGAGGCGGGACAGCATGGCAGGACAGAGCAGGGCGGGGAGCGGCCGTGAGGAGCGGCGGGGCCCTGAGGAGCCGAGCTCGTCCCGCTCGGTGACCGCCGAGATGGCGGCGCGGCTCTCGCGAGAGCGCGGGGAAGGCGGGCGCGGGGCGGGCGCTCTCGCGAGAGGAGGCGGCGGCGGGAGACCGCCCGCCCCGCCCGACGGCGCGGCGCCCGCCGCCTCGCTGGATGGAGACCCCGCGGCCGAGGCCGCCGCCGAGTGGAACATCCCGCCCAACGCGCCCGCCTGCATGGAGCGGCACCTGGAGCGCGCGCATTACCGCGCAGGTAGCGGCGCGGGCGGCGCGGCGGGCCCGGCACCCGGGGCCGCTCCCCGGGCGCTCCCCGCGCCGCCGCCCGCGCCTCCCCTCGTGTCTCTCCCGCAGACGGGGCCCTGCTGCTGGGCGCCTCCGGGCTGAACGGGCGCTGCTGGACCGGCTCGCTGTGGGTGTTCGCCGAGCCCCGGCGCGCCCCCAGCGAGGGCTTCTGCACCGCCGGCGTGCAGACCGAGGCGGGGGTGGCCGACCTGTGCTGGCTGGCCGACAGGGGCATCCTGGTGGCCTCCGACTCCGGTAAGCCGTGGGGATGCTCCCATCCTTCGCTGGGGTGCGCCTGTGCCCTGTCCCAGTGCTGAGCTGGGGACCCCCAGACCTTCCCCTAATCAAAGGTGGGTGGGTGTCCTTGTCCCTGAGCTCGGTGTCCTTGTCACTGGGCTGGGTGTCCCTGTCGGGGGGTGCGCCTGTGCCCTGTCCCAGTGCTGAGCTGGGGACCCCCAGACCTTCCCCTAATCAAAGGTGGGTGGGTGTCCTTGTCCCTGAGCTCGGTGTCCTTGTCACTGGGCTGGGTGTCCGTGTCACTCAGGTCGGTGTCCCTGTCCCTGAGCTGGGTGTCCCTCTCACTGGGGTGGGTGTCCCTCTCCCTGAGCTGGGTGTCCCTGTCACTCAGGTCAGTGTCCCTGACCCTGAGCAGGGTGTCCCTGTCACTCAGGTCGGTGTCCATGTCACCCAGGTGGTTGTCCCTCTCAGGTCAGTGTCCCTGACACTGAGTAGGGTGTCCCTGTCACTCAGGTCAGTGTCCCTGTCCCTGAGCTGGGTGTCTGTGTCACTCAGGTCGGTGTCCCTGTCACTCAGGTGGGTGTCCCTGTCCCTGAGCTGGGTGTCCATGTCGCTCAGGTGAATGTCCCTCTGACTGAGCTGGGTGTCCCTCTCGCTGAGCTGGGTGTCCTTGTCACTCAGGTCAGTGTCCCTGTCCCTGAGCTGGGTGTCCCTGTCACCCAGGTGGTTGTCCCTCTCACTCAGGTCAGTGTCCCTGACACTGAGCAGGGTGTCCCTGAGCTGGGTGTCAGTGTCACTCAGGTGGGTGTCCCTGTCACTCAGGTCAGTGTCCCTGTCACTCACGTTGCTGTTCCTGTGTCCCCCAGGTGCCGTGGAGCTGTGGGAGCTGGAGGAGAACGAGAGCCTCATAGTGAACAAGTTCTGTAAATACGAGCACGACGACATCGTGACCTCGGTGTCGGTGCTGGCGGGCAGCAGCCAGGCTGTCAGCGGGGGCAGGGATTGCTGGTGAGTGTGCCCAGCCTGGCAGCCTGTGCCCGGGCTGTGCTGGGCACTCACTGCTCGCTCTTGCCCACAGTGTGAAGGTCTGGGACATCCCGGAGCAAACGGTGCTGCACTCCTACAGAGGTGAGTGCCAAGCCACCCCTCTCTCCCTTTTTAATCCCCTTGACATGCCACTCTGACCCTGTCCCCAGCCCCTTGCGTGGCTCCCTCGAGCTCGGGGCTGTCACAAGGACTGTGCCATGCTTGGACTGGGCAGCTCGTCACTTGGGTAGGAGGCAGCTGGCTGCTGCTGAGCAGAAGTTGTCCCGTGTCTGGGCAGAGCTGTTAAACTGCTGTGCCTCTGGAGGGCCTTGGGAATGTGTGGGAAAGTTGGATCCAATCTTTGAGGCTCTTTATCCTTTTGTGCTTTTGGTAGCTCACTCTGATGCAGTGACATGTGTGGCTTCCTGTCCTGGTAAGGACACTGTGTTCCTGTCCTGTGCTGAGGTAAGGCTCACTCTGTTGTCTAAATCTACCCCATTTAAATGAGATTTAACTTTAGGTATTTACAGTTTAATGCATTAGAAACCACCTCTTGTGTTGCAACCTGCCTTCCTGTGTTACTGCAGTGTTCCAGTCTGATAATAAATTAATTTAAATTTATAATCAGTTTGCCAAACTGATTCCTACAGGTTTGTATCAAATTTTGGGAGCTCCTAGGTCTGCCCTGGGGATGACTGAAGGCTGCACTTGGTGACAGCATCATTTTAACCCAGAGGAAAACACAGGGACATTTTGCCTGTGAGTCAGCAATGAATCTGAATTTATGCCACAAAGAAATTGTAAAATTCTTCTCATTCCTTTTGGATTTCTAGGACAACAGAACTTTACTCTGGGACACCAGATGCCCCAAACCAGCTACCCGAATTGGTATGTGTCTGTGTGCAGTCACTGCTTCTGCATGAGCTTCTGTTGGAAGAAATAAATTATTGTATGCCTGACTTCTACCTCCTAATCTAGTGATGTGCCTGTTAAAACCTAAGGAGGTCTAACACTGTCACAGAAGTGCAATAAGCTTAAATCACTTGTCTTGCTGCAGTAGCAGTGCTAAGGGAGATGGGTGAGGGATATCTTTGTGCTGCCTCCTTCCACTCTCACCCCAGTTTGTTCCCCTGCAGTTTGCAGTGCCTGTAATTACCTCCCTACCTCAGTCATGTGGCATCCACAGAAAAGTGACATCTTTGTCTTGGGTAAGAACCTGCGCTCCCTCCAGGCAAGCCACGGTGGCTGTTTGCACAGGACAGATTCTAACTTCAGCGCCCCTCTCTCCCAGGTGATGAAAGTGGAACAGTTGCACTGGTGGACACAAAGAATCCTGACTCTGCCCTCAGCGCTGCCGTGCACACCCGAGGCATCACAGGCTTTGCTTTCTCTGCACACAGGTACTGAATGGTCCTGGCACACAGCGTGGCACTGCATCCCCTCAAAAGCCTTCGTTGTACTTGAGTAAAACCTGTGAGAGTGCCAGCTTTGGTCTTCTCATCCAGGAGATTGTAGCAGAGAACAGAATAAACCAAGCAACGTCTCACTTCTGACGTGTGAATGTCCACAATAACAATTCTGCAGCTCCAGGATTACTGACCCACACACTGTGGGGATTTTTCTAATTAGTCACCTTTGATTAAAGAAGGATCACTTGTTTTCAGACTCTAATTGAGTATTCCCACTCAGTGTACTGGCACCCTGCCAAATGCTGATGAAAACATTCTTGTAAGATTTCTGTGAGTTCATTTGCTGAACCTGGGTCTGGATCACTAAGAATCCTGCTGTTCACAAGTTTATCCCTAAAAATTCTTGTATTTTCTTTTCTAACTGTGCTCTCATCTCTCTCTAGTTCACCCTTACTGGCTTCCATCAGTGAAGACTGTTCAGTTGCTGTTCTTGACTCAGACCTCTCAGAGGTGTAAGTACAGACAGAATACTCACTGCTGTTGTCTTCTTGAGTTAATTATTAATACACAGCATGGTTTGGGGTGGAGGGGACCTTAAATAAGATCATTCATCCCAGCCCCTGCCATGGGCAGGGCACCTTCCACTGTCCCAGGGTGCTCCAAGCCCTGTCCAGCCTGGCCTTGGGCACTGCCAGGGCTGGGGCAGGCACAGCTCCTCTGGGCACCCTGGAGGTGAAAATGCTCCTAAATAGAGGAGCATCATCCTCACAACCAGCAGTTAGGGATTGCACAAGCCCACACAGTCTCTGAGGAGGGCTGATGGAGTGTTGGTGTTTTCCAGGTTCAGAAACCATTCTCATCGGGACTTTGTAAAAGGCTTGTCCTGGTCTCCTTCAGATGATGCCTTGCTCACTACAGTTGGATGGGATCATCAGGTTTTACATCACACTGTCCCTCTACCAGCTGGTGAAGCTTCTGGAATCAACTGTGTAAAAGAATAGTTTTATAAACTCGTGGTCCAAGTTCCTTGCTGGCATCACTTTGATTCTGCTGAAGTCGCAGGTGTGTGAGCTGGAGTGGGGTCTGTTGTCTGCCTCCAAGCTTGTGGCTAACAAGGTTCCTGTAGTAATTTTGAATTAGGTATAAGTTAGTTACAAACCAAGCTTTATCCTCTCCTCAGGAGTGGCTTCTCCTGTAATAAAAGACTTTGGTTTTACTCAGAAAAAAAAATTGACTTCAGGCACAGAGGAGACTTGGAGAGACAGGGAATTAGGTGTAATGAAAAAAGAAATAAAGTCAAAAAGACTTGATTCTTTCCTCAGTTCTCCAGACTGCCCATGGAATTCATAGAAGTTTCTGGGGGAGGTTAGCAGCACACCTCTTGTTGGGTAGATGTGAGAGCCTCACCTTGAGCCAAGTTCTTTGCTCTGGAAATCAGGTGGAATGAAAAGACCCGTTGGGATCCAGGGGCTGGAAGGGTTCCAGGGTTGTCCTTAATGCAGCACGTGGCTGGTGGAGAGGATTCAGCCTCGGCACCAGTGTGGAGCCCCTGGGGAGCACTGCTTGTGCACTGGTGTAGGACAGCAGTGTGTGCTGTCAGGATGTGAGGGAGGATCCCAGCTGGAGCCCTGCAGTTCAACACCTCTTGGTGGTGCTGGAATCCTGGTGGCCAAGGCCAGCTCAGGGCACTGGCAGCAGCAGGGAGAGGTGCTGTGCTCTTGGACACCCTGGTTCATCTCCTCTGTGCTGAAGGCAACTCAAGGATGAGACCTGTGAACAAAAGGTTTATGTGGGGGAAAACTGGACTAAGGACTTCAGCTGTCATTTGCTTGCTGCTGTACCAGGCTGTGCTTAGTGATAACCCAGATCCATGCACTTGTGACAAGTGACTTCCTGTGCTGGCACTGAGGGGACAGGACACTGCCCTACCCCCAGGCCGGGCTGCACAGAACCCACAAGGTGTTTTTGTCAAATAGCACATCCATTTCTAACTCAGCTCTTTACCTGGAGAAAGTCACTGCTCTGCATGCATTGCTGCTGCCCTAGGTATGGCTTGGTCTGGCCTAGTGATTCCTAGACAGAATTAAGCAAGTCCTGACTGATGAAACAAAAATACAGTTGAAATGAATGTTACCCCTGGTTCTTTAGCATGATAGCAGCATTTAAATGTACACTGCTTCCAGTTTTTACCTCTGCATACACATAGGTTTAGTTGTGCAAAGCCCACAATTAATTTTTAGGCAGACTAAGCTTTCCCAGGCTCTGTACTTCTCTCATACTCTTTGTAAACCTCACTTGCTGCTTTTTAAATTCCCGTGTCATACAGGTGTTCACAGGAGCTTCCTGTTCTAGAGCAGTGTATGACAAGAAACAGTGAATGATGATAAAAACTGACACATTTCCTCAGAAATACCCCTTGAACCACAAAGTCCCCTCTTGGGGACCTGTGATGCTGTACTGAAACAGGTCTTGGTGCTGGTTCTGAAAAAGTTGTCTTGGAAGATGGTTTTCATTTGTAACTGGGTTTAAGTTTCACTGGGCCACTTCTGTAGCACTGAAGAGCCAGCTGAGATCATCCACACAGTTCAAATTGTGATTTCAGTCCCTGATATTAAAACTGTTCTTAAATAAATGCTCACGTATTCCTGTTCAATGCCAGGGTACTACAATTCTTCAGCACTGGTGCAAGGCAGGCTCTGGCTCCTGCTGCTGTTCAGGAAGCTGTTCTTGCCAGAACTCTGAACTTGGGGTTCCATCATGCACAGCTAAAAATAAAAGTTCAAATGTCAGACATTAAACCACATTAGGTTGCTCACATTGCCACACCTGAGCAAAACAGAACAGTCCCTGGCAAAAGACTCGTGCTGGGTGCTGAAGCCAGCAGGGAGAGCATATAACTCTTGATATATTAACTCTTTTACAACTGAAGGCCAGACCAGCCTCAGTGCTTCAGCATCTGGCAGTGTTTGTGGTGCCACAGGATGGCAGCAGCAGCCCTTGACAAGGGCGAGGCAGCACAGCCCCAGCTGCACATGGCCTGGAGGAGGGTCTGCTTTTGGGGTGTCCAGCACTTCACTCGGGGTTTTCACTCTCACAAGCACAGAGGAGAACTTCAGCAGGCACTGCTGGGTGCAGCTGGGCTCAGACTTGCACCAGGGCTGGCAGGGAAGTTGGGGACAGCAGCAATGCCACCTCAGTCCTGGCTGGCTCTGCAGCTCCCCAAGGAGCAGAGGCAGGGCTGGGGGGTTTGTGGGGTTTGTGGCTTGCTCAGCTCTCCCTGCTCCACACACCCTTCAGCTTTGGGGACACTTGGGGACATCCCCTGTGGCTCCAGTGAAAGCTTCAAGGCACACATTGCAGCCCTTCCCTCCCCCACAGAGCCTGCTTCTGCAGCCAGAGCTGGCTGAAGGAGATGAGAATGCAAATGTGTTTAATTGGGAGTGCAGAGGAGATGAGAATGCAAATGTGTTTAATTGGGAGTGCAGAGGAGCAGCCACGCTGCAGCCAAGCCTTTCATGCTGCCTGCATGGCTCACACTGTGCTTGCAGCTTGGGCACAGCACTCAAGCTGGGACTTGTCAGAGGAATGAGAGTTTCATCCCTGGTGAGCTGCTCCAGCCCAGGGACTATTTATAGGAGCTGCTGCTCTGCCAGCCTGCCCAAGCAGCTGGGTGTGAGTGCCACAGCTCCTGGGGCTCAGCTGCCCTTCTGCCCTGACTGCACTGCTGGAAACACTGAAATGGCCACAGGCTTGGATCAACCCTCAGAGAAACTGGAGCAAGCCCTGGGTAAGCTGAAATTCAAACCCTTGCTGAGCCACCTTGTCCCATCCTTTCAGGGATGTGCCAGCAGACAGACATGTAAGCAACACCAAAAAAAGTCAGACCACACACGTAATCAAACATCAGAAATGTTTAATGCGAGAAGGTTGGTGTTCAATGGCACTCATAAATAAGAGACTTTGTTCAATACTTTACAGCTAAAGCTCTGTTCCACTCCCCTAGCAGGAACTTGTGAGGAAGAGGCAGCTGCAGGGGATAATTCCAGTTGTATCACGACTGAATTACCACCCTGCATCAGAGAGGGTGATGTGAGAATAATTCCACACTCAGGCCTCAGGATTGCTCTCAGCACTGGGCTGAGGCAGGTGCTTTGCTCCTTTAATACCCCTTAGTTTTGTTTCTTACTCTTGCTAAATTTCTGTAGTGAAAGCTGGGAGGAGCAGGAATGTGGGGAGTTTATGCACACAGCTGGCAGTCACCTGTCCCAGGAAGGGGCTGGTCCCACCCCTGCAGTCCTCACTCCTGAGAGACCTGACTGTCCCCAAGTGCTGTGGCTGCCAACAGCTCTGACAGTGGTTCCTTTGTCACAACGGCCCCAGAATCAATGGGGAGTTGTTCCTGAAATACCAGGATTTGCTGAACGCATTCAGAAGAAGCAGGGATAGTCCAAAGTGTTTGAAGAACAGAAGAGCCCCACTGCTGAAAACCTGCATGCTAACCAGTCCTGCAGCTGGGAGCAGAGTCCAGCCTGGTTCAGCCACAGCTCAGTCCCCTGTGCAGCCCCTGAAGGGGGCTCTTCAGTGAAGAGTGGCTGCTCTATAAACCTGACTTCTGTGATCACACTTCTAACACTAAATTAAAGCAATTATGTCTGCTAGAAATGAGACACTCCATGGTGTCTAAGACCATATTTCACCCACTCGTGAACGGTGTGTCTGGGTGAAGCAGTAAATGTGACATTTAAAGCAGGTATCGACATTGGAGTGTCACATTTTTCTCTAAAAATTAAAAAAAAAAATCAACTTGTGTTGGGGAGGTTGCAATTTGGAAGAATTCTTGAGGTGGAACACTGCACACACACCCCCCTGCCCTCCTCACTTCTGGGCAAAGTCAGTACCAAAAGCTGAAATTGCCCACCCAGCCTTAAAATTGTTTCTGAGAGCTCATTTGCAAATATAGCTTATTATTTTGAAAAAGTATCAGGAAGAAAAAACCATGAAGTTGCAACATTATCAAAGAGACTTTGTTTGCTTTCAAGTCAAACTGGTGAAACTTCACCCAATACCAAAACATGACCCTGACATGCTCAAGGAGGAGCACGGATTTACCTCTACAGGTGAATAAGAATGCTCAGGATGCTCCTTGCTTTGAGGAAATGGCATGTTTTGGGGCAGGTGGTATTCCACATGACACTTGGCACACTTAAATGTCCTTATAGTTACTCCACAGTCACTTTTCTCCATAAATATTTTTTTTAAACCAACACCCAGATATTAAAATCCTATTATTTCAATATTGGCTGGGGTGAGCAATGGAAATCTTCTAAGTCACTGTGACTTGCTGGCATAAAAATGCCTTTTGAATTAGCTATTAGACTGATTATTGTATTTGCATTTTCATTTTATTCACAGCAAAGTGAAGTTCAGAATACTTTAAAGCTGCTGCAATATCTGAAAGGGCTGTTAAATTACTAGGTAAAGCTGGAAATAACACAAAACATAGATTGTCAATGACATGAATATCAAGATAACTTTTGAGAATTCCACTGTGAAGGAAAATTTATCCCTGATTTTGAGCTGAATTGTAAAGCAAGATGTGCTTGCAGGCCACATCCAGGTGTGTGCCAGGCAGGGCGAGCTGGAGTGGAGCCAGTGATGTTTATAGCATTGAAAGTAGAAAGTGCTTTCCATAAAAACAGACTCATGTCTAGAATGCTCAGGATGCTCCTTGCATTGAGGAAATGGCATGTTTTGGGGCAGGTGGTATTCCACATGACACTTGGCACACTTAAATGTCCTTATAGTTACTCCACAGTCACTTTTCTCCATAAATATTTTTTTTAAACCAACACCCAGATATTAAAATCCTATTATTTCAATATTGGCTGGGGTGAGCAATGGAAATCTTCTAAGTCACTGTGACTTGCTGGCATAAAAATGCCCTTTGAATTAGCTATTAGACTGATTATTGTATTTGCATTTTCATTTTATTCACAGCAAAGTGAAGTTCAGAATACTTTAAAGCTGCTGCAATATCTGAAAGGGCTGTTAAATTATTAGGTAAAGCTGGAAATAACACAAAACAAAGATTGTCAATGACATGACTCGAATATCAAGATAACTTTTGAGAATTCCACTGTGAAGGAAAATTTATCCCTGATTTTGAGCTGAATTGTAAAGCAAGATGTGCTTGCAGGCCACATCCAGGTGTGTGCCAGGCAGGGCGAGCTGGAGTGGAGCCAGTGATGTTTATAGCATTGAAAATAGAAAGTGCTTTCCATAAAAACAGACTCATGTCTCAAAGTGCTTTTAGTTTATCAGTGATAAGAAAAAAAATTCTCTACAAGTTTTTACAGTTAAATTACAGTGATTTTCAGCAGGTTCACCCAGGAGGAAGAGTCTCTGTTTCTAGTTTCAGCAAGTTGGCTATTCCCAACCCAGGTCAGCTGTGGCGAGAGCCCACTGCTCCCTCTGGAAGCTGGAATCTCTTTAAGGCTGCTGCCAGCTGCCAGCCCTGCACAGGCACCTGCAGCTGCTCCGAGGCTCGGGGGGAAGCAGGGGCAGGGCTGCACCTGCAGTACCTGGGAAAGCACGGGGGGAAACAGCAGGAGCCAGCTCCCTGCAGGTGCCCCTGCCAACAGCCCACAGGATAAACACAGCCACACTGAAACGCAGCTTTGGTGCCCAGATCAGGCACGTGGAAGCCAGGTCTCAGTGGGACAGCTGATAAGGACACTTTGGGGTCACAGGGGTGTGATGTGGCAAGAGAGCCCTCGGGGAGAGCACCAGCAGCACAGCACCTGGGCGAGTCACTGGCACCCACCAGCCCAAGGAACAGGACTGCTCCGTGTCCTGCATCTCCCAAGTGCTCTACAGCCATCCAGCCAGGCCTCACAGCCTCCTTCCACGAGGAATAATTACCAACAGAAACATTTACAGTGACCAAAAGGCACAGCAAAGCAAGGCCCTGCTCCCGAAGCTGCTCCTGGAGAAGGGGTCAGAGCCCGGCTCGGCAGGACAGGCTCTGACTGCTCCAGCTGGGTTTAAGGCAGAATTGATTTGCTCCAAACTCTTAAGGACATCAAGGCATCCTAAACTCTCCTCCTATCGAGCTCGCCTCACATTCTTATTTCAATATTTCAATCCCTGACATTTAGCTGTGCACTGCTTTGCTTCCATTGTGCACATCTCTCAGTTGGTGTCTCCCTGCTCCCAAACATGCTGGAGTTAAACCAATCAAAAAACAAACCAAAATCAATCTTTCCAGTGGTGATGCTCTTTAAAGAGAGCTGAGGATGCTCTTTGGCTTTCCTAGACAGCCTATATCAGGCTGCAGTTCTGAAAATACCCCAGGAGGGAAAACGGGGGAAAGGGAAACCACGTTTGCTCACGTAACAAGGCATCGGGCTGCCCTCTGCAGTAACTTCTCTCCATGGCAGTCTTTTGAGAAAAGTCCAGTCTCGGGCTCATTCCCCAGCTTCTCCGTCAGCAGTCTCAAGCAAGTGCATTTTCAGGCTGGGTTGGGACCGTCCCTGGTGCCCGTGGAGAAGGAAAGGTCCAACCCAGGCACCTCCTGGCCCCTTCCAGCCTACCGGTGGCTCTGGTAGGCGTAGGAGATGGGCTGGCGGGTCCCGGGCCGGACCGTGAAGGTGTTGGAGGGTCCCCCGTAGTGCGAGGTGCCGTGGGCAGGCCTGCAGGGAGAACAGAGGGGCAGTCACCCAAAGCAAGGCCAGGCACAGCCTGATATGTGTTTCATCGCTTCGTGTCTGCCCTCAGCGAGGTGGGGAGGGGAGGGACATGGGCAGGGGGTCACGGCTGGCACCAGGGAGGAGCCATGAACAGTCACTGCCCTTGGAGCAGGGCAGCAGCAGCAGCAGGGAGCGAGCATCAGCCAAGGGGCAGCGACTTCCCTGGAGCCCCAGTGCTGCTCTGGGACCAGTTCCGAGGGACACCGAGGACAGGCAGGGGTGGGCTCGGGGGGGCACGTACCTGCTGGCCGTCAGCACGCCGGCGGGCGAGAAGTCCCCGTTCTGCCCCTTGTACTTGGCCTCAGCCGCGGTGCCGCCGTACGCCGCGGCTTTCCCAGCAGCGTCCGTGGACGCCCGCCTGCCCTGGGCGCTCGAGGGGCCGTTCCTGTGGCCGGGGCCCGGGCGGCGAGACCCCTCCCCGGCCGTGGAGCCGAACCCCCCGGGGCCGTAGGAGGAGAGGGTGGAGGAGAGGGTGCCCGAGGCCCGGGGGGCTGCGGCCGCCCGGGGGTAGGAGCTGTCGGGCTCCGACATGTACAGGCGCTTCTTGATCAGCGGGCGCGGGTTGGGGCCGTGGCTGGGGAAGCTGGTGGAGCCGCTGTAATCCGGGTACTGCGGTGTGAAGTCGCCGTTCCTCCAGCTCTTCTCCAAGGGCAGCGGAGCTGCTGGCTCCTGCTTGCCCCCGTAGCTGCGGCTGTAGCCAGCCCACCTGAAATAGCGCGGCTCTCCCGAGCCCCGGCTGCCCTCGGGGACGCTGGGGCACTTGCGGCTCTCCTCCCGACTCGGGAGGGGACCGTCGTCCGCCTCGTTGCTGAATTCGGGGGGTGGGGGGATAATGCCGAAGTCCAGCGCCGTGTCCCCGTTTTCCTCCTCCCTGGGCGCTCCGTGGCGGGCCGGGCCGGGCTGGCTCGGCTGCCCCGAGTCCAGCAGGCCCCGCAGCAGGCTCGAGGCAGCGGCTCGCCGGGGCCCGGGGGGCTGCGCCTCGCCCGCCGCCCGCGCGTCCCGGCCCTGCTCCGAGGAGCTGGAGAAGGAGGGGGGCTTGCTCCAGCCGGACGCTGCCGGGCTGGCCGCAGACGGCCGAGGCACCACGGTGAAGGAGTAGGGCTTGGACTCGTGGCGGAAGAAGCTGGTGGAGGTGGTGTCCGACGAGGCGCTGCTGAGCCGCAGGGCCGGCCTGGCCCTCAGCGCGGCCGCGCCGTCCCCGGCCTGGCGGCCCCGCTGGGCACGCTGCCGGGCGGCCAGCAGCAGGGCCATGGGCGAGCCGCGCTCCACGCGCTCCCCCGTCACCGGGTGGATCAGCACCTCCTCCTGCCCCGCTCCCGAGGGGTCCGGGGGGCTCCTGCCCGAGCTCCCGGGGCAGGGGGGCTCAGCGGAGCCCGGGGCACAGGGTGGCTCGGTCGAGCTGGCCCCGGCCCCGTGCACTTTGTACTGGAAGATGGCTGAGCTGGGCTGTGGTGCCGGGCTCTGTGCAGGGGACACGGCGGCTGAGGGGGGGCTGGGAGCGGGGGGCTCCTCTGCCGGTCCCTGGGGTGGGACTGGGGGATTCACGCTGCTGTTGAGGGACCCAGGAGCAGGGCTCACGTCCTCTGTGACCTTGCCAGTAGCAGGAGCAGGATGGTCCTCGTGATCTGTCTCATCCTTCACAGCAGCCGCCGGGGCTGGGAGCGGGCTGGGGACCGGCTTTGGCACCACTGAGTCCCTCGTGTCAGGGGGGCTCTTCCTCAGCTCAGGGGGGCTCTTCCTCACCTGTGGGGTGCTGATGCCATTCTCCACACCCTGCTTCTGGCTGCTGAGCCCCGGGGCAGGTTTCCCCTCTTTCTTCAGGGACAGCACAGCCTCCAGCTCGTTCCTGATGGTCATCACACTGCGGGGCTGCGTGTCAGGGTTGCTGTCTGGGGCGGTGACTGCAGTGCTGGGAGAGCCCCCACTGGTGCTGGGGGGGCTGCTGGGCGCCTCTTTCTTCCCACTCTCCCCTCCCTTGGATAACCCCGTGTCCTTCCTGGCCAGCTGGGGCTCGCTGAGCCCTGGCTCATGGCTGCCAGCACGGCTGGGAGTGCCGTCCACGGGCTGGGGAGCACCTGGCTTCTCCAGCGGCCTCTCCTCCCGGCGCGGGGAGCGCAGCAGGGCTGAGAGCTCGTCCCGCAGCTTGTTCAGGTTGTTGGCATCCTTCCAGTCATCCTCGCAGGTCGGGTAGTCCGGAGGAGGAAGATCCAGGTCGTTGGCAGTGAGAGGTTCAGATTTTGGAGGGGAGTCTCTCCCGGCTGCTTTCAGCTGGGGAATCTTCTCCCCCTCGGAGCCCGGCAGAGGGGACCGGCGGCCGGCAGGATTCGCGCCTTGGCTGAGCCCTGGGCCCGGCTTGGGGCTCAGCGGAGGGGGCACAGCCGGCTTCCCACCGCCCTGTCTGAGCCCAGAACTCCTCTGCTCGCCTTCCCCTGGCCGCGCCCTGCCCGCGGGCCTGATGGTGAAGCAGGGCGGCAGGGGCGGCCGGGCGTGAGGCTGCCTGGGCACGGGCTCCTGCCCGCGCTGGCCCTCCTGCACCGGGATGGACGAGGAGCGCGCCGGGGCCGGCGGCGGCACCTTGAACGACCTGGGGAAGGTCAGGTGGGGCTCGGGCTTGGGCTGCAGGCTCTCCTTGGGGCTGGGGGCTGCGGGCGCCCCGGCCTCGGCAGCGCAGAGCGGCCCCTCGGCATCCGCCTGCCTCGTGTTCAGCACGGTCTCGGATTTCCACTTGGACATGCCGAAGGGCGCGGGGTCCCGGGCGCCCGGCGGGGCCGGCGGGATGAAGTCTGGAGGAGCCGGAGTGCTGGGGGAGGACAGGGCAGAGGCAGGAGGCGGCGGGGCTGCCATGGCAGGAGGCGGTGGCACCATCTCGGGTGGCAGTGGCGGTGGCACCATCTCGGGTGGCGGCGGCGGTGGCACTATCTCGGGTGGCAGTGGCGGCGGCGGTGGCAGCATTTCGGGGGGCGGCGGGACCGGCGAGGCCGGAGGGGGTGACACAGGCGCTGGAGGGGGGGGGGGGGGGACCGATGGCGGCGGGGGGATCTCTTCATCCAGGGCATCCCCATCGAGGGCCTGCGGGCGCAGGTCCCCCACCGAGCTGTACATGCGATAATTGCCATTGAGCTGGGAGCCAGGGCCTGCAGGAGCAGCGAGACACAGCGTGTGAGCACCTCTCCTCCAGGGCTGAGCCAGCCTGGCCTGTGCCAGCCAGCCAGCCCCTTGCCAGGCTTGTCTAAAACTTCCTGAACTGCAACAGCCACTCTGCCTCACCCCTTAGGAATTAATTAATTTTCAATGACTTCAAAAAATAATTAATAGCAGACTCTATTTTAGCATGAAAATATATGAGCAGACTGTCTGCTCCAGAGCTGGGTACGCACACACTTCCTGCCCTGAGGGCTCGGTGAGCACTCTGTGCTGGCCAGGACTCCACAGAGAACATCCCTTACCAAGAGCTGCCTTCTCCACAAAGTCTTCTGGCACCGACGGCGTTGGCACAGCCACCCCGTGGGATTCTTGAGCGTTCTGCAGGAGTTGAGAAAACAGAGCTGTCAGTCTTGCAGCCAGGGATCAGAGCAAAGGGCTGACAAGCAGCTGATAATTTGTCCACACAAGCCCTGATGGGATCCAGGGCAGTGTCCCTGATATGGAGGTCCCTGTGGAAGCTGCTGCTGACAGGGTTTGAGGGGATGAGCCAAGCCATCAAGGCTGCACAGCCATAGACACAATTCCCCGTGGTCAGGGCGGAGGGCTGGAGAGGAATTCAGCTATTTCACACCCCCCTCGAGGAATTCAGCTATTTCACATCCTCCTGCGGCTGCCCAGCAGCAGCACAGCCCCTCACCTTTGATGTGCCAGTGCACTGAGCAGCTCCCTTGGGTTCAGTGGCACTTTGGTGGGCATTTCTCTGCAGCAAGCACTGCCACAGTCCTATACACACAGACAGACCTCCAGCTTTGGGGAAACTGGCACCAGCACACCTGAGCACTCCGGGGAAAACTGCTCCTTGTGTGGTTTGTGTTTCGCTCGCAGTTCCTCCCTTCACGCTCACGCCGAGAACTCGGCAGCGCCTTTGGCTGGTGCAGGAGCAGCAATTTGGCAGCCTGCACAGCTGGGAGGGCGCCTGCAGCCAGGGCGCTGCAGCCACCCAGCGTGAGCCATCGGGCAGGTGACTCACCTGCAGCCCGTGTGCCAGCGGCACAGAGCCTCGCCTGTCCCTGACTCACTCGGGGTGGCTCCCAGGGGCTGGGCTGGCTCTGGGACACACCTGGGCACCCGTGTGCAGGGCACAGCTGGCATGAGCGGCACAGCTGGCATGAGCGGCACAGCCGGGGTGTCTCACACCGGGGGATGCTCCGAGGGAGTATCCAGCGAGGGACACGGCACTGGCAGTGTCAGGGACAGTGCTCAGTGCTCAGGGACACACTGTGCCATTGCCAGGCCCCGCATCCACCCCGCCGCATTCCTGCTCACCCCCGGAGCTGGAGCTGGTAGCTGTTTGCGCTGCTAACAGCCCTTGACAAAGGAAATGTTATCCTGCCATCAGCCTGCGCCTCTCCCCAGCCATTTCCTGCACACAAAAGCCTGGATAATGACTGAGCCCCTGCCCTTTGCCTTTCTCTGCCGTTATCACCGCTTTTACATCACATTGCTACGGGATTCCAAAGTCTCCTGGATCGAAGGTCAGTTGGATTTGTCCATCCAGCCCCATCCAGGCTCAGACAGCACAGTTACACACTGCCCTGCCCGGGGAGCTCAGGAGCTGCTGGGGCACAGCTGATAAAACAGCAGCACCTGGGCTCCTGAGGAAGAGCCCTGGAACGCGCCAGATTTAGCCAAAATAATAGAAAAATGCACATATTTCACTTGCTACATCCATCACCCTGCAGGTGACCTAAGATCCCCTATAACCACAAGGGAATGAGCCAGTCACAGGTGAGCCAGGAGTGAGGGAACTCCTGGGATTGCGCAAAGGAGCAGACAGCTCCGTGCTGATGGACAAGCCAAGGGCTGCAAAGGCATGAGGGCAGATCCTGAACTTCACCTGAGAGCCAGAGGGAAGACAAAGGCCAAGAGAGGCACTTCAAGAGCTGATAGTTAAATTGTCCAGAGCAATTCGTTAAATCCAGAGCTGACAGTTAAATTGTCCAGAGCAATGAGATACCAAAATCACAGAGAAAGCCCTGGCAGTTCCTATTTGCAATGGAAATCCATTGCTGCAGGTTTGCAGAGCACCCCGAGGGAAACAAAGCTGTCTGAGCTCTGCACCACCTGCTTGGAGGAGGGAAAGGGACTGGCAGCCACAAGAGAGCCCTGCAGAGCTGGAGGACACAGCCTGCACTTCGTAAAGGAGCAGTAATTTTGGACGTGTCATTCCAAACTGGGCAAGCCTGTTCCTCACCAAAACCTTCTGTGGCAGCTGCTAAAGCTCAGCATCTCTCAAAAACCACCCATCCCCACGTCATGAGCTGGCTTCTGAAGTGGAAAGCATCCCCAGCACGCTGCCAGTCTGCAGAGATGGTTGGGAAGATTGTTCCCGGTGCTTGCTCGGGGTGTGGCCAGCCCAGAAAACCTCCAGCTGATTCAGGGCAGGCTCTGGGAGCTGTGCCAGGAACCTGCATTTCCAGTTTGTGGCACCTGAATCAGAGTGGTGCCTGCTGAGGATCCCGTGGGGGGAAGCTCTCACTGTAACCACCAGGAATCACTTTTCATCCCTGGAACAGAGCCAGGCGTCCCCAGTGAAGGGACCTGCCTGTCCCCATGGTCCCCAGCTCTCAGGAGCCCACCCACCCATTCAATGACCAAGGTTTGAGGCTGCCCCTTACAAAAGCCCCCCAAAATACAACTGCAGAGCACCCTGGGGTCTCAGACAGACCAAGAATTTCCCTGAACATGAGGAGCTGCCCCCAAACTCCTGGTTTGTGAGCCAGGCAGTGTGGAGTTTGCTGAAGGAACTCATTCCGCGGGAGACCTGCAGTGCTGGGGCAGCCAGGTGGGCAGGGGGAGCGGGGGGTCCCCTCTCCTGCTGGGATGGATTCCTGTGGCACAGCCAGGGCTGGGGAAGGAAGCTGCTGCTGTGGGAAGAGCTGCCAGGTGCAGAGGCACAGGAGCCGCAGGGCAGGGCGTGTGCATCCTCCTGACTCACCGGGAGCTGCTCGGTGGGTGGGGAAAGGGTTAAGGCAGGAGCTGCAGAGCAGCCCCGTGCAGGCGTGGACCTGGGGCAGGTATGTGCGAGGCAGCAGAGGAGTCTGTGCCAGAGCAAATCATGGTCAAACCTCACCGAGAGCGCGCAAACATCCAACACACACCGGTCCTTCACAACGCCGCCTGTTCCTACTGATTCCTGCAGTCGGAGCTGGGACTGGCAGGGGCAGCAAACCCGGGTTTGTGGGGGACCCAGAAACCCGGGTTTCTGGGAAAAAACCTGGGAAAAGCCCCAGGACCAGCTGTGCCTGTGTGGGCAGCAGCAGCAGGGCTGGGGTGACAGCCCTGAGGATTGTCCTGGGGGCTGTTAACCCCCCTGCCACTCACTTCCATCAGCAGAGATCTCCTCCTTGCCAAGACCCAAGGACTGAAGCATTGAAGCACTTTACTGCCTTCACTGCCCTGTGCTATCACTTCAGTTTAGCTGCTGACACTCCAGAGCCTCTCTGAGCCCCTGCTCCAGTGCAAGGCGTGGAACAGGAGGAGCTTCAGGGTCCCCTCACCCTGGGATTCTGTGAGTGCTGTGCCCCTCTGTGCTCCCCGGGGATGAGACACAAAGCCAGCCACAAGCCAGCCTGGCTGCGGGAGCTACAGCCACCCCCAGGCCCCCTGCTCTGCCTGTTTTGGCCCTGCTGCTGCAGGGAATGGTTTTTCATACAGAGATTGAGCAGAATCACCCCCTGCACAGCCACAGGATCACCTCCTCCTCTGCTGCAGCAGGACTCAGTGCAGCACTGCTGGCAACACATCCAGGGACAGATCCTGCCTACACCAGGGGGACAAACTGCAGGGCAAGGCTGATCCATCATCCCCGTGCTCAGCAATTAGTTTTTAATTGAAAATGCAGTCTGATGGTGCCCACACCTCTCCCCCAGTGCCCTGTCCGTGCCCCAGAGCAGCCTGAGCTCAGAGCACCCCCAACCCCTCATAGCCAGCCTCCTTACAGAGAGCTTCTGCTTTCACTGCTGCCCTCCCTGGCTAGGGGCTGAGGGCACCAGGGAGCTGGGCACCAGGGAGCCCAGCTGGTTTTGGGCACCAGCTGCAGCCCATCTGGCTCTGGGCACCAATTCCAGCTGGTTCTGGGCACCAATTCCAGCTGGTTCTGGGCACTAGTGAGCCCATCTGGCTCTGGGCACCAATTCCAGCCCAGCTGGCTCTGGGCACCAATTCCAGCCCATCTGGCTCTGGGCACCAATTCCAGCTGGTTTTGGGCACCAGGGAGCCCAGCTGGCTCTGGGCACCAATTCCAGCTGGTTCTGGGCACCAATTCCAGCTGGCTCTGGGCACCAATTCCAGCCCAGCTGGTTCTGAGCACCAGAGAGCCCAGCTGGTTTTGGGCACCAGCTGCAGCCCATCTGGCTCTGGGCACCAATTCCAGCTGGTTCTGGGCACCAATTCCAGCTGGTTCTGGGCACTAGTGAGCCCATCTGGCTCTGGGCACCAATTCCAGCTGGTTTTGGGCACCAGGGAGCCCAGCTGGCTCTGGGCACCAATTCCAGCCCAGCTGGTTCTGGGCACCAATTCCAGCTGGTTCTGGGCACCAATTCCAGTCCAGCTGGTTCTGGGCACCAATTCCAGCTGGTTCTGGGCACCAATTCCAGCTGGTTCTGGGCACCAATTCCAGCCCAGCTGGCTCTGGGCAACAATTCCAGCTGGTTCTGGGCACCAATTCCAGCCCAGCTGGCTCTGGGCACCAATTGCAGCCCAGCAGTGGCTGGGGCACTCACCAGGGGCAGGAAGGTCAGCAGCGGCCGGACCCTGGGCCGGGGTTTGAGCGTGGCTGTGCCGGAGTCTGTCACTGTCCCGAAGCGATTGTCACCGTAGTAGACCTCGATCACGTCACCTGGGGGGAGAGCACACTGTTAGCAGCAGCACCGAGCCTGGGCACCGCTGAGAACAGCACAGACACCCCGGGAGCACAGAGAGAGCTGTGCAGAATCTGCTGCAGCTGCTCCCAGCAGTGGGCAAAGCCCATCAGACCCCGAGGAAAAGCTGGGTGTGCTGGAGGGGAGTGGGAGACAGGAGAGGAAGGTCCCTGCGTGCAAGGCAGGCACTCACAGCCCTGTCCCACCCCTCAGAGAGCCTTCCCTGAGCTCTGCAGGACGAACTGGGGGAGCAGGAGGCAATCCTGGCTGGGCTGAGCAGCTGGAATTGAGGGGGAGGCAGCAGCAGAGCTGAGGAGGAGGAGGAGGAGGAGGGACAGCTCCTGCCCTGCGCAGAGCTCTGTGGGCACAGCACTGACATCGCAGCCAGAGGGAATTCCAGCGCTCCCCAGCCCTCCAGCCTGCTCTAGGGAATAGTGCCCTGCGTGGGGGAGGCAGCAGGGCAGGATGTCACAGGGCCCTGCTGTGACAAGCAGCAGAAGCCTCAGGAATTCCTGGTTCCCAGCCCTGTGCTTTCACCTTGAACCACACCTCTCGGGCCGGTTTATTTCTGACAGTGAATAAAGCTCGTAAAATTAATTTAATTACGTTCTTTGTGTCTGATTAGCAGCATGAATTAACAAGCAGAAATACTGAAGCATGTAAACCCCACCTTGGCTGGAAGGAGATACACAAATAACTCGTAGCCAAGGAGACCGACATTAAAGAAAATCTGAGTTTGAGGAAGGAGGGGGAAGCAACAAAATGGCTCTGATTGAAGGGAAAGCTGCAAGAGTGATCCCAACAACAGACTTTGATAGTGAGGAAGGGAGAGAAGGAGAAGGATGGGCAGAAATCAGGAGGAAGCTCCCAGGGAAACAGCTTTACACCAAGTCTAGGGAAAAAGAGGAGGGCAAATGCCTCTGAGTGTGTCCCACAGAAGGAAAGAGCTGGCATGAACACCTGGAGTGGAGAACCCGACCACACCAGGGCTGGGCACGAGGCAGCACAGCCTCTGCTGAGGGACTGCACAGGAATTCCACAGAGCTTCAAACACAGCACAGAGCCCAGAACACGCCAGCTTCTCCCTTCTCCCACTCAGCACCCCCAGCTTACCCTGGGCCACCCCCAGAGCATCTGCCCTGCCATCAGTCACAGCTTCCCTCGCTCCACACTTCTCCCGCTACAAGGGATTCCTTACACAAAGGACATTTTCTCCAGCTTTCAAATCACCAACCAGCTGTGCTTCAGCCAGCCTGGTCCTACCAAGACTCCACCACTTCCCTGCCTGGGAGGGGCCCAGAAGCACCCAGGAGGAGCTGCTGGAGTCCCAGCGAGGACAGAGGTGCCAGGAATTGCCTTGAACTGTTCAAGGCCAGGTGGGATGGGACTTGGAGCAGCCTGACCTCGTGCAAGGTGTCCCTGCCCATGACAGGGAGTGGAATCAGATGAGTTTTAAGCTCCCTTTCCACCCAAACCACTCTGTGATTCTGTGATGATTAATTTTGTGGGTGACCCCACATTCAGTGAGTAAGGAGCAGGAATTAAGGCCAAGGCAACAGGAGAGTTTGGACTCAGACTGCCTGAGCAGCAACAGAGTCGTTCTGAGACTTGAAACGATGAGCTTTCTATTTAACAGTCACTAGGTAAACCCAGTGAGAAACTGGATTAAAGATCACAAGGACTTTGATCCTAGATTACTAAGCATCGCTACCCTGAATGCTTTAATTAAAGGAAAATGAAGTGCTTGTAGTTGTGTTTTCTTTGCTAGATAAACAGGACTTGCCTGCTGGGAGCCCATCACCAGCAAGACCTGAGCTCTGCCAGCCTTTCCTGGAAGGAGGGAGCAGGAAATGCAGCCTTGGAAGCCGTGGAAGCAGCTGGCTCAAAGCACCGGCCTTGCTTCGGCCCCTTTCTGACATTCAGCCTGTCCCAGAGACATTTGTGTTTGCTCAGCCATGGGAAATTAAATAAACAGTTTGCCACGCAGGTAATGGAACTTCTTCCTGCCCGGGGGTTGCATCACCTGGAGGAGGTGCAGCAGGTTTGAGCCGGGGTACCCACAGCTCCCGCGAGGAGGAGGAGGAGGAGGAGGCATCAGTCACTACATTCAGGAATCTCTGAGTCAGGGACACGCAAACCTACACCCATTGCACATTGCCTAACTTGTGTTTACTTTGTATGAGAAACCGAGGTGGGGATCAGCAGGAGCAGGGGACTCCTGCAGGCACGGAGCCCTGCGGGGAACGTCCCAGAGCAGGGCTGGGGCTGCGGGGGCTGCGGGGGCAGGACGTGCTGGGAGTGGGTCTGCCTACAGCACAGCTGGTCCCCGGGCTGCTGGCCCCTGGGCTGCTGTCCCCCTTGGGCTGCTGTCCCCCTTGGGCTTCTGGTCCCCCCTGGGCTGCTGTCCCCGCCCTGGGCTGCTGTCCCCCCTGGGCTGCTGTCCTCCTTGGACTGCTGTCCCCAATATCCGGGCTGCTGTCCCCCCTTGGACTGCTGTCCTCCTTGGACTGCTGTCCCCAGTATCCGGGCTGCTGTCCCCCCGCCAAGGCAGCCCCCCGGCCGCGGTGTCCCCCTGTCCCACTGCCACCGCACCCTCACCGAGCCCAGCTGCGGGCAGAAACGCCGGGAGGATGCTCGGAGCGATTCAGCGGCTCCTAGGCTCGGCTTTCAGGATTCCCGGCTCTTCCCCGGCACTCTGACCCACACCTGAGCAGAAAGCGCTTGTACTGCCACTGCAGAACCGCAGCCACGGAAATCAGGCTCCTAATAAGCAGACACAGCAACTTCTTTTCTTTCTTCTAATCCAAACCACATCAGAGAGAAGCTTGAATCCTCCTCAGATTTACGACAGTTAGAAATCAGCAATTTTCCTCCTAGGTTGCAGAGTTGCACGAAACTCCCTGTCACATTTTCATTTTATCTTGGTTTCAGCAGCTTGGCCTTTGGGGTGTAACCACCTCGCAGTTGCTTTCACAGACAATACTTCACCCTGCACAGCTCAGCAGCCAGCACTTCTATTTTTTTTTTTCATCTTGGAAGAGTTTGTTGGGCTCTTACAGCCACCAAACTTCATCCACCAACTGCTATCTTCTATCTACCTGGCTCCATTACTATTAATTTGGCTCCCTCCTACATGAGCCTCCAGGGCACCGTATTGCAATTAAAACCACAAAGAAACACAAATAAATCCCGAGGAATATGCAACCCTCAGCTCCCTCCTCGCTCACGGCCCGGCGAGAAACAGGTTTATGAGTAAATAACTCCGACCTGGGAAGGCGCAGATCAAACATGGCGTGGGAAAGCGCGACGGGAAGCAATAAAACCGATTTTCATCCACCCATCGGCCTCTTTGAGCCGAGTTTAACTCGGCGGGAGCGGCAGCCGGCCCAGCCGAGGTGCGGAGCCCCCCGCCCGCTCGGGGCGCAGCTCTGGGAGCGGCGCTGCCGCATCCCGGTGCCCCCGAGCGCTCCCGGGGCTCCCCCGGCCCCACCGAGCCCTTCTGCCCCGGGACGGCCCGTCCGAGCCCGCACGGCTGGGGGACACGGGGACACTGACCGGTGCCACCCGCGCTGTCCGAGGTCACCTCCTGCGTGAAGATCCAGGGCGGGTTGGTGGCGAACAGCGACGCGGCGCTGGGGCTGGAGTGGCGCTTGCCGAAGAGGCGGCTGAAGGTGCCCTGCACCGAGTGCGGCTGGTGCTTCTTCATGCTGGCCGAGCCGAGCCGAGCCGAGCCGCGCCGGGCATCCCGCGGCAGCGGCGGGGACGGGGCCGAGCGGCTCCGGAGGGCGGGGACGGCCCCACCCCGGGCCCGCCCTCCGCCAGGTGCCCCCGCTCCGGGAGCACCGAGCCGGGAGCCCGGGCTGCGACAGCCGCGGGGACCGTCCTGGTGCCACTGCTGGTCCCCGGTGTCACTGCTGACCCCAGTGCTGCTGACCCCGCGGGGACCGTCCCGGTGTCACTGCTGACCCCAGAGTTGATGGCCCCGCAGGGACTGTCTCGGTGTCGCTGCTGACCCCGCGGGGACCGTCCCGGTGTCACTGCTGACCCCGCAGGGATCGTCCCGGTGTCACTGCTGACCCCAGAGCTGCTGACCCTGCAGGGATTGTCCCGGTGTCGCTGCTGACCCCACAGGGAGTGTCCCGGTGTCACTGCTGGCCCAGCTGGGACCATCCCGGTGTCGCTGCTGACCCCAGGGCTGCTGGCCCTGCGGGGACATTCCTGGGGTGGCTGCTGACCCCGCGGGGACCATCCCGGTGTCGCTGCTGGCCCCGCTGGGACCATCCCGGTGTCACTGCTGGCCCCCACGGCCGCCCAGCCCCGTGCCTGCTGCTCTGTCCGAGCGCTCCCTGAGCTCCGCAGAGCCTGCCCCGTGCCCAGCCACCCTGCGCCTGAGGAACCTTTCCCCCATCTCCAGATCCAAAGCTCCCTGGGTCAGCCGCCGTTCCCTCTGCCCTTCCTCTTCCTCCCGTGTTTCTCCGTCCCTCCACCGAGCCCCGCAAGGCCGGGAGCTCCCGGTGAGCCCGGGCTGCTCCGGGGCTCGGGGTGCTTTTCATGCACAGCCTTGAGGGCGATGGGATTGATCCCAAAGCATTTCTGGTTTTGGGTACAAAAGCAAATTTCTAGCACTGGTAGAGATTTTTTGTGCCCTGCAAGTAAAAATTGAGAGTTAATGAGTAACATTGGCTACTAATAAATGCAGGGAATTCTGGAGAACTTTAAACCCAAAATAGTTGTCAAAACATTAACTTTGAAACACAGCTTCCAACTTCAGGTTAAGATCTTACACCTCTTTCTATCTCTACCAAGTTGTGAGAGTCAAAACCATATAGATTTCTTTTTTTCAGTGATAAATATCACTTATTTAATCATTTTTAAATTATGCTTTTCTTGTGAAAAGCATCTTCTTTTTACTTTAAAGAACAAATTAAAGCAACACATAAAATCCCCCGTGAAGAATGAAAAATGAGTGCTGTTATGATATTCCAGAAGAGAAGTCTAACTGTGGCACAGATACCAGGCAGCACTCAAATAAAGTGAATTACGAATGGGAAACGGGGAAGGAAAAGGAGAATTAAAACGTTAACATTCAATTGCGCGGCTGCGGCAGAGCAGCTGGAGCACTTCAAAGGCTGCTCCGGGGATTTCACGGGGCTGCTCGGGAGCCTCTCCCCGGCCGGGGCCCTCCCCAGGCCGGCTCTGTGCCCTGCGCCAGCCCCGCAATTACTGCCACTGTCCCGACAGTGTCCCGACAGTTATCCTGAGTGCTGCTTGCCAGACGGAAACGCCGCTGCAGACAGACGGACGGACGGACGGACAGCCGCCCTGGCGCTCGGGCTGCAGTGGGCTGGGGGAGAAGGGATTGTCCTGCCTGGGGAAGAGAGGGGATGGGATGGAAACTGGGAAACAGCAGCGCTGCAGCCGGCTGAGGGTGGGAAACCGTGCTGCTGAGCTTGGGGCAGGGTCACAGAAACACATAATCACAAAATCACAGGGTTACAGGGTCACAGAATCATAGAATCACAAAATCACAGAAATACAGAATCATAAAATCACAGGGTTACAGGGTCACAGAATCATAGAATCACAAAATCACAGAAATACAGAATCATAAAATCACAGGGTTACAGGGTCACAGAATCATAGAATCACAAAATCACAGAAATACAGAATCATAAAATCACAGGGTTACAGGGTCACAGAATCATAGAATCACAAAATCACAGAAATACAGAATCATAAAATCACAGGGTTACAGGGTCACAGAATCATAGAATCACAAAATCACAGAAATACAGAATCACAGGGTCACACAAACAAAGGCAAACACTAAAACAGCTCACAACCAACAGCAGCCATAATGCAGACTCATAACTGACTCTTCTGTGTTGTCTATGGGGGATAAAACAGCAGAGATTGTAGTGAGCAACAGAATCTTCAACAAAATCAAGGGTGAACACTCTGTCTTCTTTATCCACACACAGGTGTTTATAAGTGTTTCATCACAGCTGTTTTAGCTGGGGTAGTTTTATCTCTTAAAAGAAAACGGCTATGTATCTTACAATGTAGAAAAGTAATATTAAACTGTCTTAGGTTGCAATGCAAGAGTAACCAGATGTGTGTATTCTGTCACCAGCTGTTAAACCAGGTGGGGGAGTATTCTTTATCCCTTCCACAGCCAATCCTCCCTCCAGGAGATCACTTCTGTTCATGGGCCATTAATTATTAATTATCTTCTGTCCATGGCCAGTGAGTGTCCCTGCATGGCTGATCAAATTCCAGCATCCCATTGGGAGATGCTCCGCCCAGGGGAGGAGCCCAGCATTCCTACCTGGATACAATCTGAGATTTGGGATGCCCCAGCAGCCTTTTCCCACTGCATTCCCAGAAGAGCAGCGTTCTCCTGCCCTGCATTCCCAAGGAGCAGCTTTCTCCTGCCCTGCATTCCCAAGGAGCAGCTTTCTCCTGCCCTGCATTCCCAGAGGAACACCAGCCCCATCTCCAGCAGCCCTGGAGCTCCAGAGGAAAACTCCCCCCTTGTGCAGGATCCCTGCTCCAGCAGAAGCACAGCTGGCACTGTGTGGAAATTCCCAGCTGGAATCTTCACTCAGGACCTCTGTGGTCTCAGTGCTATTGGAAACTCTCTGGCTGTAAATTCTGGTGGTGTTGTGGTGTCAGGAGCTGATAATGGCACCGTGTACCCTTGGGACTGGGACTGGGTGCGATTTCCAGGGGGTGCATGCAGCTCTACAGCCAGGTTCTTTGGACAGTTAATCAGGCGTGTTTGCTTGTGGTTTTGACCAGTCAGAAAGCAGATTGCTAATGGCTGAAGCTGATAAAACCATGCAAGTATACAAAGAAGATGATCCTGCTCCTGAAGAAACCCATCCTGTCAGCTGGAGACCAGAAATTATCCAGAGAAAGCGATTTTAGTGCAGCAACATACTTCTGTAGTTTTGTTTTGGCTTTCCTGAGAGCATTCAGTCACATTTTGTTCTGCCTAGGACAGCAGAGCAAGAAGTCAGCTAAGCTAAGTCATAGAATAAATTTTATTTCTCTTTAGGGAAAAAAAAAAAAAAAAAAAGGAAGAGAGAACAGAGCTGCAGCAGCCAAGCCAATAAAATCCTGTGGAATGGGAGAGCCCGGGCTGTGCACAAAGGTGTCCCACAAATCTCATTACAGCAAGGAGACTTCAAAGGGGCTGTGGGACAGCAGCAGCAGGGGTGACTCAGCTCCTGCCACTGCTGGGGTGCTCCTGAGCCCCGGGGCTGGGGGTGCCCCAGCGCTGCTCCTGCCTCACCCTCGTGGGTGCTGAGCACGGGAAAACATCCCCCTCACTGCACGGAGGGCTCTCGAGGTGAATTTAGCATCCCACGGACGCCAGCTGCTGAGCAGCCCTGCCAGGGCTCCTGTGCACCTTCCCCTTCGTGTGCTCCGGGTGGAAGATGTTTGTTTTTCGCCTTCCACCTCCCAGCCCTCCCCTGGGAAGGGCAGGAGAAGCTCAGGGGCAGCACGAGCAGCAGGCTGGGCACGGTGGCTTCCGTGAAGAGCAAACTGCAGAGACACGGGGAACCTGCCAGGCTGGGTGCCTGGGCTGTGTTTTTGAGGAAGGACAACTGTCACCCCTGCGTGACTGAGGCCACACAGCAAGAGGGACTGGTGGGCTGGGCTGGGCACAGAGCTCAGGAAAGCACTTGGAAGATCTCCAGCAGGTTTTGTGGCATAGAAAGAGCCGTGTGAGCACTGCTGTGATGTAACACACCGCAGCGTGAGGCTGCCTTTGATCCCAGCACGGGTAAACACCCCAGAACAATCTGCTTTCACATCAGGGTGAGGAGCTGCACCCTCAGCTGGGGATGGTTCACTGGCAGCTGGGAGAGGGGTTTGTGCAGCTCAGGCTGGGCCTGGAGGAGGAAGGGATGGAGCAGAAACCCTCAGGTGTGCCTGCAGGCCAGCAAACAGCTCAGAGCAGCTGCCAGTGGGGCAGGGGGCACGCTGCAGCTGGGGTGGCAGGGCAGCAGTGTCCTGCAGAGCCTGCCCCAGCTGCACTGCTGCCCGCCAGGGCTGGCAATCCTGCCCCCATGGCCCAGCCCCTGCACTGCTCTGCACCCCCTGTGACATCCAGCACCCCGGTGACACCCCGTGGTCACAGTGGCCCCGTGGTCACAATGGCCCCTGAGCAGCAGCCCTGCAGTGCCCAGGCAGTGCCACAGCAGCTCCAGGGCTCCTTCCCCAGAGAACCTCCCTGGTGGGTGTCCCAGCTCACACTGGCAGCAGGGACACCGTCCCACCACGTCCCCTTCCTGAGGGCTGCAGCTCCTTGCCTGGGGGTGACCAGGGTGACAGGGACACAGTGATGCCAGTGGGATGCTTCATCCCAACCCTGCTGGGCAAAGCAGCAGCTGTGCCTGCAAAGCACTCCTGCTGCTCTGGGAGGGCTCTGGGATGGTCAGGGATGGCTCTGGATGGGTCAGGGATGGCTCTGGATGGCTCTGGGTGGCTCTGGATGGCTCTGGGTGGCTTTGGAATGGCTCTGGGTGGCTCTGGATGGCTCTGGGTGGCTTTGGAATGGCTCTGGGTGGCTCTGGATGGCTTTGAAATGGCTCTGGATGGCTCTGGGTGGCTCTGGGTGGCTCAGGGATGGCTCTGGGTGGCTCAGGGATGGCTCTGGGTGGCTCTGTGTGGCTCTAGATGGCTCAGGGATGGCTC